GGGTGAAAAATTTACAGAGCAAATTCACTTTCCATACAGCAGTTCACATACACTTTGTCTCATGACATTGACTACAATTTACCCCAATGCAACAGCTCCCTCTCACTTCCTCCCCAATAGTTACCTCTTTCCTGTGTCCATCCCTCCATGCACTCCTGACCCGAGCTGTCTCCCTGAGAGCAACATCTTTTCAAATATACTGCAGAAAACTTGAAAGTAATCAAGCTCTCAAGCTCTCCATTTATTCCAGAGATGCTGTCTTTGTTTCAGCATTTTAGAATGCTTCTCCTGGGTTGATTTCAAAGTCGGCATGACATTCTTTTAAATAGACTTGATTGGGGTCAATTTCTAAATTCTTTTTAACAAAGATTTGATATTTAGAAATCATCAAAAATTATTTAGAATCATGAATGCTGGATAGCATGGATGAGCATAAAGAACAAACTGGTTTTCTTCATTTCTTATTACCCTCCTCAGAAATAAATTCCAAAAGGAAGGCTATTTTTGAAACAAGTGGGTACATCATTGGAATCAGTATAGTGCTTTGAAAGATGACAACTTTGAAGAACAACATTCATTTGATGGTTGTGGTAGAATTGATTGGAAAAGTGACCCTGATTCTCCACCCCTCCTTGTATCCACATCCTTTGTAATGCGACTTTGAAACATTCCTAGCATGAGCTAGAGTCTATTTTTCTCCAGCCCTTGACTCCAGCCAGTTTTTTCAATTGCTTGGGCCAATAGAATGTGGCAGAGACAGCAGAGTGACATTTCTAAGCCTAGGTTTCAAGTAGCCTGTGCTCCCCTGGAACCCTCCACACTATAAAATCAAACCTGGGATAATCTGCTGGAGGATGAGAGGACGCATGAAGAAAAGGCCACTTTGTCAGATGAGCCATCCTACACAGATCAGCCTCAGTCAACCCACCAACTGACCACTGACACATGAGCAAGCCTGGCCAAGATCGGGAGAAGCCAGCTAGATCAGCAGAACAGCCCTGCCAATCTTGGAAGAAACAGTAAATGCTTGTTCTTTAATCCAACATGTTTGGGGATGGTTTGTTATGCAGCAAGAGCTAACTGACACAAACACCTAAATGTGAATTAGCATCAAAATATAAAACTCCATTCAGTAGGTTTTACAAAAGTAACTAAGAATTATAAAAAAAAAAAAAAAAAATCCTGGGAAAACCAGGCACCTTCATGTCTTGCTAGAGATCATGTAAATTAGTTGCATCTTTTTCTAGAATAACTCGGCAAAACAAAGAATCCTAAAAATACTCATCCTCTTTGATCCAGTAATTAGTTCTAGAAATTTATCTTAGGGAAATAGTTAAAAATAAGACAAAACAAAAAAAACACATATGAAGCTGCTTACTGCAGTGTCATTTTGAATACAATCTTATCAAAACTACATATACATAGGGATAAGACTCAGAAATTGTGTTACAATGTTTTTGCAAAGGAATTTGAAACATTTTTTACTGATTTAATCAAACTCTTAATAGATTCACTTTCTACCTATTTAAAATGATGATCAATATAAATGCATCTTATTTAAAACTTTTGTTGTTTCACTTAAGATTAAATTCACCAATAATTACTATTAAAAATCATCAACTTTAAAAAATTCGATATACGCCTTGTATGCCTCACAAAAAAGCAGACATTTTTCAGTGATTTCTACACAGTAAAACAAGTTTCTATAATTTAGCCATACACTATCTCTGCTTTCCTGAACTGTAATAAAGATTCCAGTCAAATTTGAAAAGAAATGAGTCAAATAGTATTTGATGTATTTTTAACATTAAAAAAAAAATTGGCTACCATTTCCATCTCACATGGAAGCAAAAACAAGCAGTAAATTCTATAACAGGGGTCACAGCTCAGATGACTGCAGCAGACAGCAAAATGTTACCAAGTGAGCTCAGAATACTGAGCAGAGACTAGGGAACCAGACAATACAAGCTTAGTCTAAAAAGGGTGGCTGCTTGGAGAGAACAATCATGGGAGAAGGAAGGGCTGCTTATGCACAGGGAGACAGCTCAGGGTGCAGAAGAGTATGAAG